AGTAGTGCATACACTTGTAGCTGTTATGTATCTTTGTAAGTCATTGTAAGCCCTCTTTTGAGGCACGCGCAAGCGCTCGAACAACCCCCCCCCACCCCCCCCCCCCCCCAAAAAAACAAATATACATTTAAGAGATAATTATTGAAGTTGTCTTTAAGTAAAAAAAAAATGTCCCTGGAAATAAATTCCTGGGGGCAAATGGCCCCGTAATGGAAAAGTTCATTTCTGACCCTGATCGATTACAAAGTCATACAAATCCATACAGAGAATATTTACAGCAGGGTTGCTAGGTTTTCAAAACAAAACCCACCAAATTGCTACTCAAAACTAGCCCAAAACTAGCCCACTCGCGTTTCGAGGGGGTCCCCCGTTAAAAATCGCATTCCGGGGGGTAAAGTACAAATTTTTTGGCAGGGTTCCCCAGGAAAATTCTCATTTCAGGGGCTAAATATCGCATTATTGGGGTCGCTTCAACCCACGGACATGAAAAACAACCCGCGCAAAACAGTTTTAAATTAGCCCAATTCCGAGGGAAAACCGCGGACTTGGCAACACTGATTTACAGGTATCTAAGTTCCAAACTAAGATTGATCTGTAGCTCTTTACAATATTTGTAGATCAAACTGTCTTCTGGATTACGTTAATTTCTTTTTCATCAGCTAATGAAGGGTAAAATTTCCTACAATAGAATTACATCTGAGGTACAGTTACCTTTAGATATTCGTGAAACCTTAAAAACTGAAACATGTTATGCTTAATGGACTGCTGCTAATGGAGTGAAGACCTTGGAGAAAATGGAGACTTCTACAGAAATCAGTGTGCTAATTTCTCAAGCTATTTATATCATCACTTAAGTTGTCTTCTGGAAGATAACACTGTGTGACAGCTGTCTTAGTATCCGTCTTATTTTCTGATGGGCAGTTACTTTATTATCCAGACTAATATGAGCCTTAAAGTCACCATGAAATCAAAATTGAAAATTCTTATTTTTTAATGGAATACTGTAGTGTTTATTATAAATAATTTATCCGTGCACTTCATTATTTTTTTTTTAATTCATGTGCCCTCGTGATCTTTAATCAAAAACGTTAACCTCTCCTCCCCCTCAAAATGACTCATCTTCTCTTCCGGTCACGAGCTATGGAGCAAGGGCGGAGCTAGTGACGTGAGGGGTAAACGCTGGGATAAACCACAGGGGGAAAAGCTGAAGCTGATGCTTCACTTTATAGCACTGACACCAGTCATGAGGGAGTATGTTACCCCTAAACATTGAAAAGATATTAGGATATTACGACAACATTACTCTTAGGATATCGCAAACAAATTTTTTTCTTGAATATGACTTAACCTGATGGAGGACGCGCTCAGTCATTCAGGCAGTCTCTCTCTCTCTCTCGCGCACGTGCTGTTTAGGCATGTTTTGTGCCATTGATCATCGTCGTCATCCTTAATAAATAAAATATTTATTCATGCTTGGGTGTCGACTGTGAATTCAGTGGAGACTGGAGAGAAATCCCCCACCACTAACTGCAAACTGGCATTCAGATCTGCCTCCATTTTGTTAGCAACACCCCAACTTCCAACGATCCAATCAATTCCCGAAGGACGAAATCAAGTCCCGCCCTCTCATTTCAGATGCCGTTTCACTCGGATATACGTCACAGTAGAGAAGAAAAGACAATCCCAACTTCCCTTTCATACCGACTTTAAAGGTTAATGTGCATATATACACGTAATCAATAGCAAATGAGGCCTTCAAGTAAATGTACAACATTATGGTGAATGTGAATACAAAGAGAAACAGACAGAATGAGAAAAAAATAGAACAGCTGGTGATGTAGAGCTGATTTGATGCAAGTCACGTAATGTGCACTAAAAAATGAGTGCAATGAGAAGAGCTTCCATCTGGCCCATATGTGCTCTCATAAAGGTGTTTACATCCAATGATACTTCATTTAGATCCTGCTTATTAGCGTCTCAACGTCATCACCTGCTGTAGATGCACCTGAAGATTCACACTGATCAACCGCTTTAGGCCAGAGACAGCAGTGATGCCTGGTTTTGGAGCAATGCCTTATGGGTAACCAAACCTCCCTCAAAGCATCTCTAGCATGATGGATGTGAGAAAGTGGAGGAAAACCAACAGTCCAGTAGTTATGAGCAAGGAACCTATAATGACCTATTACAGGTCCACGTCAAATCCATTCCCAACATTTATTTGTGCACTTATGAGTTTTCAGTTCTGGTTTCAACTCCTTGCTCTTGAAACATGCAATTTTATCCATATTTTGGTAGGGAAATGCTTACAGTCATCCTATCAGCGTACTGAAGTGTTTCCATCAAAACCCAATTGCTCCCTGAAATGACGTTCCCTATACGGTCTCCCTGCTTGGCTGGTGCCCCATAACCAAGGTGGCTTGGAGCAGAGAGGTATAAAGTACTGGGACAGACGGATGGGAAGGTCATTATATGAATGTGAATGTATGAGCTTAAAGTACACACATATCAAACGAGGGTACTATATTGACATTTATCTTATTCAAAATTAGAGAAATAAATAAATAATAGCAATTTCGTGCTTCAGACTGCTTTTAGCACTTGAACTTATCATACACCGGCATGAGTCTAAGACACATCAGGTCTGTCATGACCAACAACCCACAACAATCTTCACACTAGCTCATGATAAAAATGATGTGGCTCATAATTGTGCAGAAGATCCAAACAGATTTAATCAGCATGACTGCTAATTCATAGCAAAGTGTTATAAACATTGGAAGCCCTCAGTGTCATAAACATTGGTAAAATGGGTTACATTTTGTTGTGCTGATGACTTGTGTACTTATTTCATTTACGAGTGAAGCCTCAACTGCATCACAATAGCTGCATTACAGGCCATTAAAGCTGGACTGGAATAGCATTATGCTCTTTAACAAACCTGAAAGTGGATTTTATTAAGAAATGTCAGTGATATGTAGAATTTGAGCAGTTAACAAACAAGAAAATGTGTTGTGTGTAGCATCATAGTGTATGTTCTGCTGCAATAATTAAATTGGCATTCATCAGCACATTTAACATATACTGATATCCAGATCCTAATAAAGAGAAACACCTTCAGAAGAACTGCAGGATGGTAACTGTGGGATATGTGGGAACTGTGGGAAGATTTTTAGGGGAAGAAGGTAGAAGTCCTGTTCTCGCCGTGACTCTGTACTCCAAAAATTCCAATGAAAGATGAATTATGTTCAGATATAGTGACTGGAGAAGCTATGGAAGGTGTTTGACTTCCTCCTGATGTTCACAAACACTCCTGGATTTGTTTATTATCCAACAGGAACAACATTGGATTGGACGCACCTGGTCTGCTCTCAAACAACCATTGAGAGAATCACTGAACCTGTGGCTCCTGTGAGATGACAGAGCATTGTAAATTGAAGTCATGCTTTGTCTTTCTCCGAACATGAACCCATCTGGATGTGGATGACTCATTAGACTATGTGACTTTTAAATTGCACTTTATTTATAGGGGTTTAGATGTTGTGCTCTAGTCTGTGTGCTGGTTTTAAATTCCTTTTTTTTTTTAATGGCAGCTTTAGCACAAATTCCAGCTCTGCAGTAAATTAGCAGTTTTAATTCAGACTATCACATAGGTGTTGCAATACTAATGTAGCTTGTCTTTTCTCACTGAATACGTTTTGCACATTTTGTGACTAGCAAAGTATTCAAACCTGTCAGAATGCATTATGAGTAGAAACTCATCAATCTGGCACTATTATTTCACAGCTCTCCTTTGATAGTTGATCTGGAGACAACTACTTGTAGACTAAAGTGTCATTACAACACAACAAAATAAGACAGCATAAGCACCGGCTGCTCTGGCAATGAAACAGGACTGAAATAGAAGCTTTTGATAACAGAGATCAACATATGATTCTTTGTGCACATGAAGTCAGACTCAAACTGTGCTCATAATAACCATTAAGACATTTGTTCTTTTACAAGCTCATAATGAACCAATCCATGAATGCCCCTATCTGGCATGCTAATTCACTACTGTCAGTGAGATCAAATGCACACTTGTCATTACATGACATTGTAAAACATTGTCATTTCAGTTAATTTTCAGTTTGAAAATTTGAGAACACTCTACATATAAATTAAAAAGCATTAGAACCACAGAAACCAGAACCAAATTTAAATCAATGTCAGGGTCTTATCAACATTTTGCAGCCGAAACTGAACAAAGTATAGATTTTATTAACTCAAATGCACTGTGAAAGGATTGTTGTTTTCTGCTCAGTGGAATCTTGGTACTAGAAGAAATGCTTAAGATATCATGTGTGTGAAAAGCATTAAAGATTTGCTCTTGGTTTAAGAGATTCAGACATCTAAACAGCCTGAAAACCATATACCTTTCACTATATAGCTTGACTATGTGTACATTATGATATAAATCTTTTGTGTCACATGCCACAGGAAGCTGAACCTTTTTTTCCCATTCCATCCAAGTTATAAATGATACATTTAAAAAAAAAAAAATTTGAATATAACAGTGATTGCCTCTGATCAATAAAAAACCGTAACAACAACCGAAACTCACCATGTTCCACTTTGGAAAGAGGAAATCAGTCCCGATGTACTCGAAGTAATGCGCAAATCCTTCCTTCAGCCAAACGTCCTCCCACCAAACCGGTGTGACTAGATCCCCAAACCACTAGAAGAGAAGAAATGAACAATCAATCATCAACAGAAAACAGAGTGACCATTACAAAAGATTGATTTCATGTTCGCTGGTGAAGAATTACAACAAACCTTTGTTGTTTTGTACAAGAAATTTTTGGGGGGGTATTCTGAAACCAAACTTTATTTGGACAAAACTTAAAAAAAAAAAAATAATAATTTTATCCACACTTGTATTCATCCAATATCTGCAAAAGCATATTACATCTAGTGGCAAACACATTTTATTAGAAAAGTCAAATACAGCATAAAAAATACCTTGTGCTCTTTAGAAGTAGCAGTGCAAATAATAATAAATAATAAACAGTTGCACTCTGGTTTAACAGAAAAGTTGTTCACGAAAGGCTTCACAGAACATTGAGAACCCAGTGGAGCTTTTGAACTATGATTAATAGTGGCTTAAACAATCGATTACCTACAGTTACACAATTAAAGCACATTTTTCTGTTTCACAGCATTCATACCTGGGCACTTTGCCAAGGACACCGTAAATGAACAGAACAGAGAAAAATAAGGATTCGATTATGAAACATCCCATCTGGAAGGTAGAAAGAATCCAAATGACCACTGCCATTGTGTGCAGATGACAGTGTGCAAAACAGGGCTATTGAATGGAAAAGATGCCACATTGCAGTTCTAAATGGGCTGAATATTTTCCAGACTCTGAGGCCGTCAAGCAGATGTGCTACTGAACGCCGGATCTCATTGTTGCAGCACACAAACCTCTGTAGGAGTCAGACCTCTTTCATATGAACACGACATCATTACAGCAGCTCAAAGCGTCTGACGGGACGTTCATCTGTGACTCAGACACATGGACTGATAGCGTGGAGAGAGACAGCTGGTATTCTGCTCTCAGAGGAACCTTCTGCTAGTCACACATCAAGTGACTTTTTCTGCCCTCTTCTGATTTATCAGATATTCTGACGCTAATGACAGTGAACCAGGATAGTGAGTCACATCACGTCATTTATTGCGTTTAAAAAGACTGAAGCTGTAGAGCAAATGGAACTGATGGATTGGTGAAATCTTGAGGAATGACATACAAACAGACATATAGACATATAGATAGATAGATAGATAGATAGATAGATAGATAGAAAACACAAAACATCTACTTTTGTGTTCCACAGAAGAAAGAAACCCATATGAGTAAAAATGATGAACCTTTATCTTGTGTAAATTATCCCTTTAAAAGATAGAAGAAACTTAAATACATTTTGTTACTGCTCACATCGTTACGTGGCTATTATACATTGACATCACATGAGCCGTGATGGCAGCATCGTAAAAGCATCGTAAGAGATCTGTCTGGAGTTCTGACAGCTTGCATTTTGCATTTGTGCCTGATTAAGCAGTTCAACAACACTTGAATGTCAATGAACTGTACGAACCATGGGACCCTCGCTCAATTACATCCTCAACAGTGTCTCTGAGACGAAAGCTAAACAGAGGGATTCTGCAGCCTACCTGCTTCATTAACAGATACTCTGGAGGAAGTCGTGCAGGGAAGAGTTCACACTATACCTCTATACTGCAGTATATAAGGGACGTTTGAAAAAGGAGAAAACCTTCCAATGGCATCATTAAAAACAACTTTTAGGTTGGCTGAGAATCATATTGACAAAGTCTTCAATGAAACTTAGTCTTATACAGTAATAGTATTACTGTAAATGCCTGAATAATTGAGTGTAATGACCTTCATTGACATTTAACAATGAGGTTCAGACAAGGTCTGTCAGGTTTATGACTGCAGGGCAAAGGTCATTGCCTTCTCAACTGGAAAACCACAGGCTGTAATTTAGCACAAGCTAAATATTATATGGCTCACAGACTCAAACCTGCATCTCCCACACAAGCACCATAGTCTAAAATCCCTTACAAAAAAGAAATATACTTCAAGTTTGTTTTATTAAGGAAAGCTTGTGTATATTTTGCAAGTATACTTTGTAGTAAGTATAGTTATATCAATGTACTAGTTGTAAATGAACTATTTCAGTACTTATTGGGACTAAATTGGCCCACGTTTTAATTTATAAAAGTATACTAAAATATTTAAGTGCACTTTAAATATTACAATCTTATACGTACCTCTGGGTACATTTCTGCAGCACCGTTTTTACGTACCTTACTGCACGTTTCGCCGCAGTTTCAAAGAGAAATGTCCACTGAGTGGCGCTAAAACACGGGTTCAATACGTGAACCCTGGCACGTTTTTATTACGTTGATATAGGTACGTATTGCTGTGTTTTTATTACGTTGCTTCAGGTACGTATCGCGGCGGTTCAGAATTCAAATATCCGGGGACTGTTGCTAAATGTTAATGCTCTATCGTGTTGGAAATATGCCCTACACCAAACCCAACCCTAAACCTACTCGATAGTGTTAACAAATGCAAAACTGATATAAAAACACATTTGTTGATGCAACCGTGCCATTTGAACTTCCTTATATGCAGATTTGACCTGTTTTGTCGAACCGTAGTTACACAGGATTCAAACCGGAGCTCCTCACCTGTCAAGCACATCTCCGTACTCCGTGAGCTACCGAACAAACCTACCGTCTATGAAAACCCATACGTATGAAGCTGGATATGTGCATTACTAACATCCAAAAGCATCGGTTTTCAAATCTCCCAGCATATAAAAATTGTTTTGAAGTCATAACATGATATTCTTCAAGTAATTGTGCGAAAATTACGCTTTATTAATCGAAACTCTGCAAATTTGTGTGAAAAGGAATAAAAGGTGTCGGAGTTTTACTGCCTCTAGTGTTCATTTCTTTTGGAAACTGCAGTGATATGTACTTATTGGTACGTATTTCGCGTCTCGCGAAAAAGTACCCAGAGGTACGTTTTTGCCATGAGACCGGGTAGTTATAACAGCAATTCGATCTTAGCTTAGCATTATGCCAACATCAAACGCTACTGAAATGAACAATGAGCATCAAGTTTCTCATACACTTTACATCACATATGAGGCTCAATTTCAATGAAGATTCTTCCTTAAAAGGAAGACAGCTCACTAGGTTCTGGAATAGAGCCATCATCAGCCACTTCTTGTTTGAGCTCTGTTTTGAGTTTTAAAAAAATGTATTTGTCAGTATTCAGAGTGAGAGTGTGAAATCCCCAGTTTCCTATGTGTTTACAGACGCCGTCTTTTATAAATGAGGAGAGAATAAAACACCAGCCAACAGACGTGAGTCATTTAATTAAGACTCACTGACAGACTCAGACATGTATCCTCACATTTAATGTGTAACTTATATTTAATGTCTAATGGTTTGAGATGTATGTGACGTATAAGAACCGAAGCGTCGCTTTCCTATCATATTCAAACCCAGAGGGCAGAATGTCACCTCCCCATTTGGTGGAAAATAAGAAAACTCAACATCAGCTGCATCAGCCTCTAATAGGCTCGTGTTATTGGCTGAATAACTGCATATGAAGGGCTGTGGCAGCATCATTTAATCTGAGAGGCTGAAATGAGATGAGAATTTAACCGTGATTGAGCGTCTGTGACATATAAACCCCATCGCTGGAGGAGGCAAATCTACTAACAATCCACTGCTACAGCATCTGACATTAAAATTAGCCAGTATAGAGAGAGAGGTGGTCCTGAGCCCCAGAGAGCAAAAGGATAAATTTATACAATAAAAAACAGAGCCTGTCGTCCACTAATCAATTATCTGCAGGCAGTTGGAGCGAGCGACGAGATACAAATGTGATTTATCAGATGCCGGCACTTTGCCACCAGCTCGAGTTATTAGAGCACAGACAGACCTTTTAATATATGACAGAATAAGTGCTGGATGAGGACTGACTGATCACAGACACTGATCACAATGAATGTGTCAATCAATATGACAGGTGAGCATAAGCCCCGCCCACTCTTGCGCTCTGAGCTCAGCTGAGTTAATCTACACTGCACCTACTCGCTGGCCTCCGTTACACATGTATGGTGCTGCTGACACAGCATACAGTTGTTTACGTATGTGATACTCTCCAAAATGGCGCTATAGGGTGACGTGGAGCAGACGAATTGTTGAATAAAGTCGTTACTTTTGTTTTCTTTGCGCACAAAAAGTAGCTTTGTAAAATAAGATGAACGAAGGTCTTACAGGTTTGGAACGACATGAGGGTGACTAATCAATGACAGAATTTTCATTTTTGGGTGAACTATCCCTTTAAGTTAGCATTAACACACTCTCTTTGCAGTTTGTAACTATTTTGCATTTTAGCGAATTGGTGGCTAATTTGTATGAATTTGTACCATCACATGCTTTATTGACGGTTATAGGTTTAGTGGGAACCTTCATGCTTACTTTTTCCCCTAAAAATCAGACGTTTCCATATGAATCACATTATATGAATCTATAGGAAAACATTGTAAAACAGTCTACATAGTATACCGCATACTGTTTTTGTTAAAATAATATACAATACACTACAAAACATGTAAAAATAAACAAAGTAAAACAGTAAATTGTAGTCAAAAGGCTATATAGTAAAATAGTACTAACAGTATAATAGTACTTCAAACTTATATAGTCTGAATATAATAAATACAAACTAACTGCCAATATCATTTTTGAAGCACAAACATTAGATTTCAACTTTACAGTGTGCTGTACACATACATAAACATGAATTCTGTGGGGACGTTAATGTAATGCAGGACAGTATTGGACATATTTCAGTTTTCTGCCTGTAAACAGCAGCACTAATCAATATTATAGTTCCAGCCTCCGCTGCTGCTTCTTTTCAATTATCCCTGATCATAAAACAGGGGTTTATATGCAGAGAACAGTCTGATCTAGGATACCCTCATGAATTTCAGCTCTAAAAATATCAAATATGCACTTTATTGCTGTTTCTGAAATAATATCATGATTTCATGCTCCCTGTGAGAGTGTTTTACTGTATAAGGTTCAAAGTGAGTTTAGACAGAGCTGTATTATCTGTGCAGAAATGAGAGATGAGGGGATTGTCTTCGTTTATTTCCTTCTCCCTAAAAATAAGTCAAAAAGTGAAAACAAACAAAAAGAAAAAAGGAAAGAACTGCAGACATGCTGTTTCGTCCCGCTCATTTAGCTTTTATCAAAGCAACGGCATCTAGAACACAATGCAGAGCTGCGATTCAGCAGCACACGAGGAAGACTATTCAAGAGATGAATCCAGAACAATACTGGAGAGCGCAGAACATCTCCAACATGCTCATAAATAATCCACCATAACAAAAGACACTAACATCCAAGGTTCTCAGCAACATAAGAGCTGCAAACAAAAGCCGGTGGAAAATGAGCATATGCGATGAATAATTCCACCATTTCCTTTACAATTCATGAGGATGATGCATTTGTGGGCTTTACTGAACATCATTGCATTGCCAAAAGAAAAAAAGCTGCTTGTTTGATCTGAGTCTAATAGTCTGCAATGATGCAAAGATACCAAAAATAGGTTATTTAACACAAGAAAGACAAGTGAAACACTGTAGAGAGAGAAAAACAGAGTAAGAAAAACAGAGGGTTGAAGGAAAGAAATCTTTACTTTCATGCTCCCATTGGAAAAGCGACGTCACGAGCGGGGTGATGTAAGCACCAGAAAGTATAAAAGCGCATCCGGCAGAGCGCAAACCAGCTTCTGCTCTTCAGTAGCGCTCTGTATATGTGTCTGTCTATTTACTGTTGTCTATCCGCACAAGCATATATAAAAACAATATCATGAAAAAGTCTATGGCGAGCGAACGGCATTACAAACGCTGTGTTCCTCCCTGCCCATGATATCTGGCAGTGGGGGATACACACAATTTGTGTGTCGTTTGTTTGGGAGCGGAGCCCGAGGTGTCAAGATCGTGGGAAAAACCGTATTCTTCCCGTATCTATAGCCCCACAGTCTCTAATTATTCCAGTATCGTGGGGCTGAATGAGCAGGGATATGGGGCGATGCCAATGTTGGAGCAGACGCTCACGAGCTATCTCTCCCCATCCTCAGCATCATCCCTGAAGGCCCCGAAGCTTCTCACCAGGCCTGTTAAGCTGACATCTAGTCTGGTTGGGAAAGCCTATACGGCAGCAGGTCACGCTGGCGCATGCTTGCACACCATGGCGGTGTTACAAACATACCAGGCTGACCTGCTGAAGGACCCGGATGACAGGGAGGAGGGGGAATCCGACGTGGTAGCTGAACTGCGTCGGGCCACAGATTTGTCCCTCCGAGCCACCAAAGAAACGGCCAGAGCTATCGGCCGTTCAATGG